TAAATGGAGTTTTATACTAAAAGGAAATATTCCAATAGTTACATAATGTTTTTCAGGTGCCTTCTATTGATTTTTTGTCATGTTTCTAAAACTCAGTTAAATGTCTGACAAGTTTTTGCATACATAATCAACAATCGAAGCCACTTGAAATGGGATTGCATAAATTAGCAAGAGCAGAAAATTCACATTGACAATAATTTCCTTTACTCCTTACCTGCGCCATCTTGAAAGGTAGCCATGCCTTTGCAGAAGCGAGACAACCATTGAGCGTGCAATGATAGAAACCTGTGAATAATTGTCTGTAGGTGTGAAAGAAGGTTTCTATCATTGCACGCTCAACGGTCGTCTCGCTTCGATGTGAAGGCATGGCTACCTTTCAAGATGGTGCAGGTAACCATGAAGGAGACTATTATTCACCTCTTGTTGACTTGTTGGTTGAGGTTCTCCTTGTTTTCTTTTTCACCTGATAACACATCTTCATCACAAGACAGCAAGGCCTCATCAAAGCCAAAAGATTGATTCCACAGCATTGAATCATCTAAAAGAATATTAAATAATACTGTCTCCAGGCATTTTTTTAGTTAAGGAATAAAAGACGAAATTCCRTGTTTGATACTCTGATCAAAACATGCGGGATGTAGGGAGAGCACGAGAGAAGCGTAGGAAACCACAACGCGTAGCGGAGTGGTTTCCAGCTTTTCGAGTGCTCTCCCTACATCCCAAGTGTTTTGATCAGAGTATCAAACACAGAATTTCGTCTTTTATTTCTTTTCTAAAATTAAAAGAATACGAAAATTGTAAAAAATTCTGACTTTTGATACGATATGAAACGAGCGTGTTTTGATACTGTAATCAAACATGGTTTTCGACCAATCACAGGGCGCGTAGTATCCTAAATATTTTAGAATAATATATAAAATATGAGCGGGAGACCTTTACAGGCATATAAAACTGCGACTGCAAGCTCATGTTGAACTTTAAAGAAAAATTTTATAATCTCATTAAAAATGGCCTGTCAGTCAAAATCCAATTTGGCAGGTTAAACACCAAATTTGGACATTCATTCAATCAGCAGTAATCTCAAGTCTAAGCCATGCAAGGGTAATTCTATTGATCACATTTAAAAATACATGTAAAGGCCGATTTAGATGGCACAACTTTTGCTTACAACCATCGCATGCAACCTGTGTAAGTCATCCTTTACAACATGGCTACAATTGCTTAATAACCCTACGACAGTTGTAGCCATGTTGTAAGGATGACTTACGCAGGTTGCATGCGATGGTTGTAGACAAAAGTTGTGCCGTCTAAATCGCCCTGAAGCCAAAGTAGATTAGTGCATGGGAGCACAATAGTTCCTTACCCTCTGGAATGACACTATTTGTTTGAACAGCATTCAATGAAGGTGTAACATTTCCTCCCTCAGAAGCTTGATTAATTGCTGTCATGTGATTTGAACCAYTAGTAAGACCTGGTGTTGTGTTACTTGTACCCGGTGTTGTGTGACATTTACTATTAATATGTTGTAGGGGTGTTGTGTGACTTGTACTGGGTGTTGTGTGACATCTACTATTATAATGTTGCAGAGGTGTTGTATGACTTGTGCCAGGTGTTGTGTGACTTGAATTGCTACTATGTCCAGGTGTTGTGTGACTTGGTCGATTAATGTGTTGAGGTGTTGTGTGACTTTGGTGAGGTTTTGAGTGGACAATATGAGGTGTTGTGTGACTTGAATTGCTGCTATACTGAGGTGTTGTGTGACTTGAATTGCTACTATGCTGCGGTGTTGTGTGACTTGCACTAGTGACATGAGGTGTTGTGTGACTCCTTGAGCCATGTTTTCTGTGGCTGTGGCCATTGCTCCTGTTCTCTTGTGCTGTATGATTCATTTTATTTTCAGTTAATCCTTTTCCATGAGAGTAATTATTAGTGCTACAGTTAGTTCTGTTTTGGTGGGCATGATTGCCATCTGTCATATTGTGTTTCTCAGCTTTTGTTGGCAGGGGAATCCTTTCTCTAGCTTCCTCTTTGGTCTCACATTTAATAGGTCTATTTTCTTGATTTACTTCTTGTGCATCGTAATCTGCAGGCCTTTTTCTTGCTGGTTTTACAACTGGACATTTTTCCCTTCTAAATTCACTTGGATCATACTCCTCTGAAGGCTATTCATAAGATACAAGGAATCACTGTTAAGGCTGATTTACACGGCACGATTGTCTCGTGCGATTTGTAGTATACGACTTGAATCGCGCAGTGTAAATGCCCCTACGACTTGTCTACAACAGTTGTACGCAACCTACGACTTGTAGTAGGTTTTTGAACCACTGCTTAAAATCCTACGACTTGTAGTAGGAAAATTGTATACTACAAGTCGCATGCGACAAATCGTACCGTGTAAATCAGCCTTTAGGCACATAAAAGTAAAATAATGAATGAATGAAGAGAAAATGAGAAATTAAGACAATTGCATTACTCACAGGCTTTGTTTGTTTTGTGATAAACTTCAGGTAAGTTTTGTCACCAATGCAGTTTCCCATTACTTCACCAAAACATCTGGTTTTTCAAAAAATAAATGTCAATAAAYTAAATTGTTATTTTRCACCAACAAATTTCATAATTGAAAATCATATGCAAATCTGATTTTAACTCATGAAAATTGTACTTTTGTCTAAAAATGYACTCTTCATTCAACACAGGCAATCCAAACAAGTCATTTGAACTTTGAACATCATTCAAATTCCTTGCTTGGGTTACCTGTGCATCCAAGAACATACTTGAGTGCCCTTTTCAAGCCATCAGTAACAGCTTCTTTCCTTGCTTTTTCTAATGCAAGAGCTTTAGATTTCATTCCTTCAGAGACACCATAACCAATATCTTCATGAAAGACACCATCCTATATTTTAACAAAGTGTGACACAAAAACCTGTTTTTAAGTCTTACTTAATGTAGTCTAAAGTTGAAAGTATAACTGGGACCATATACATGCAAAGTACAGTCATAATTCAAGTAGGTCTAGTTTTTGTTTTGCGAAGACAATGTATAAGTTTTGATATCTTAAAAAACAACATACCTTAAGTTGTACTTTTACAAAAGCACTGATTCCWACATAGTATTTCTGGCCAACCTGATCTACAAAGTCTACATATACATGTAAAGAATAATAAGCTTACATGTAACTTATAACTTATTTAGTACATGTAAAGATGTTCAAATAGCTTGAATCTTATTCCTGCAAATTCCAGAACATCAAGCTTACCTATATTCTGATTTGTAACAGAATGTGACCATCCATTGAAACCAAAGGTCTCATTTGCTAACTTGATCACCCTCCATCCTTCTATGTATGCAAGCTGAAACAGAAATTCAACTTCAAATGTCTATTTTTCGAKGTGTGTSACAGTAGTGTTTCTATGTTAAGTTAAGTTACTTTTTGGCCCCCAGCACCAGATCGTAAACTGATGTATTCTGGTCCAAGTTTCTGTCGAAGTGCAAAGTTGATAGCWTCTTCTTCCTCGCCAGAAAATTGACACTGAAAAACAATAATAAAAGAAGAAAATATCAGCAACAAGCAGCGAGTGAACAACACATGCTATGGCATGCTACAAAGATTAAAAGAAAGCTATTCAAAATCATATCATTTACATACGTTTCCAAAAGAGGTAAGCCGGTTCTGTACTGCCATAATCATAAAATATCCGATGCATCTGAAGAGTATATTTTTATCGTTTTCTACTTGATCAAGAACTTTTCACTTTGCTGTTTTGAATCGACGAACTTCTTCTCGATCAACCAATCAAATTCAGCCATAGCTYGCAAAGSAATATGGGTGAAAATTGAAACCAATCAGAGTAAATCATTTCATCCGGGATGTTTGTTTTTACAAATGGCGTCKTATTCGAAGATGAAAGTTCTTTGATTTTGTTTTGCAAATTTTATTCGTAAAGCATACAAATTGTGAARTTTTTAGTACCTTTTATGGATGAGAGGCATCGGGTAACTTTCTCTTATGTGATTTAATGAGATATGTGACAGTTTTATTCCAATGATATAGCAAATTTCGGGTTAAAAGTCATGGCTTCAAGTTCAGGTAAGCTCACCCGAGAGAAGTTGGACCTTGTATCGGTGTCCCATTTGCTGTTTTTTTTGTTTTTTTTTTTTGGCTGGATTGCAAAAATTATTTTGTTTGATCAGCTATACATTTTTGAGTCATCAGCAACATAACGCGTCAGAACAAAAGAAATGTTGGATAATATTTTTAAAATGTATAGAGAGCTTTCCCCGTTACACCCCAAACAGTAACCTTTTGTTTTGTACTATTGATAGCATCATACAGCACTATCAGACAACTCTATAAAACTAAAACAATAGTCCATAGCTRCCCTCCTTTTGAACAGCTACAGACGGAATTTACTTGCAATCACACAGAACAAGCCGGCATCACACTAGATTGACAGTTGTAGTTAAATGAAAATGAAGGGGCGAATGATGATCAAAAATCTAAATATCCTTCCAATGATCCTTTCATTATCTTGTACATTAATGTAACATCATGATCACCACAGTTTGCACATACAATATCCTTGGTTCTCTTTCCTTGCACCTGGAGCAGCTCAAAAGGAGGCAATGCCAGGACTATGCCTAACAAAACTGTTGTTTGAATGTGTAACATTATACAAATTTCGCTAGTCTCCCTTCACTAACTTGTGTTATTATAAACTTACTGTGATAGACCACTTGCGGGAAAATCTCATTACCACGGTAATAAATTATTTTAAGGATATTTCAATTTGTTTTCATTATCTGACTGATTAGTATGTTTATACTTAAACAATTAGACCTCTCGGCCTCGTGGACTACGAGCTAATAGACCATTCGGCCTTGCGGACTYGGCCTCATGGGCTATTAGCTCGTAGTCCACTCGCCCTCAAGGTCTAATTGTTTACTAGCATAGAGCTGTGCATCCAACAATTTACTTCTTAAAACTCCAGTACATACAGGTGGGAATAGCCTCATTCCTAGGACAGAGAACAATAGAATAAACAATCAGTTTACACATAGATTTGAGACTACGTATTCCTGCCTGTATTTGAATTTTAAGAATATAGTCAATATTATTTTGATAAAAATGTTGATCTCTGCCGTATTCCATTTTACAGTCCCTGTACTGCATCAAAGTGAGACAACAGTTGAGCCTGCAGTGATAGAKTCATTAAGACAATTATTATTCACAAGTATCTATCATTRCATTAGCTCAACTGCTGTCTGTGTTTGATGCAAAGGTTCAGCTACCTTTAAAGATTGTCCAGGGAACTGTAAAATGGAAGAGTTAAATTTGTCACCACYGAGGTCAAATTGYATTGTGCTTTTCAGATTTAAATTCAGCCAGAAACAAGCTTGATGGCCTGTTAAAAGAACTCAGTGAAAAGAGTGATGAAAGGTGCATATTGCATTGGATTGCATTTTTTTTAAATATTCTTAAACAAAACAAGGTTATTAATTMAATTAACTGTTCATTATATTTTCAGTCTGGAAGGAAATGCTATTGCAATAATTGACAGGTAAAATGTAATGATATCTTARAAAACTCATACATAATTAATGAGSTACTAGGMCAATAGAATRAGCCTATTTGGTCACATGCATGGGCCTTTATATCTGATAAAACACTCCTTATTAGTATTCTTTATATAAAGAATACTAATAAGGGTGACCTTTATCAGATATAAAGGTCCATGACCCTAGCAAAGGTCTCGGSTTTGAAACCTGATCATTGACCAATGCAGGATGTCAACCGATTTCAGTGAACAGCCAAGAGCGGTTCTATTTTACTTAATGCGTATTCAATGTGGGATGACAAGAGTGCTTTGTAAAGTGATTCGCGCATGATCAGTTTGCCCCATTTATSTCTGAACATATTTGTACGGCAATTTCTCCAAGAATTTTAACGGATTTGAGTTTCAAATTAGTGTAGTTGGAGTTTTTAAGCCGTTTAAAACACKSGAGATCATKTTTTATCAGGTACAAACCTGATAAAACACTCTCTTTCGTGTTTTAAAATATACATAATATTTTACGGTATTAATGAATTTGATATTTTCTAAAAACTACACGCAATACGTTTCTATCCTTGGTAATAGACTCCTTTACTGTTCCCTGCATCATTTTGAAAGGTAGCCATGCRTTTGCATTGAAGTGAKACAACTCTTAGATAGTAGATACTGCTACATGCTAGATACAGTCTACAAATGATTGTGTGTTGTCTAAAAGAGATTTTTATCATTTCATACTCAAAAGTCATCTGCTTCAGTGCAGAGGCACGGCCACCTTTCAAGATTGCTCAGGGAAAAAGACTATATTGTACATCATGTACTATTTCTGGAATTTCAAAAGACATTTCATAAGCTGAGATAGTAGAATACAGCTAGTAAAACTAAATTTGTTTGATGAAAATCCTGTACCTCAGAGTCTTAARTTCTCAGCACAGGCCACAAGAAATGAAGGCTTGGCGTATGAGATTGGTCYATCTCASCTTTTGCTTTRGCTCCAATCCATTGTTAATACCAACATGTACWTGCATTATGTGAATAAACCTTTTTCCAAATTGGSCTTCAAGAAATTTTTCACGCTGAGATAAAATGACATTAAAATACTTTTAATAATACTTCACTGGTGGTTACAWTGTAGTTTGTCCCAGGTTGAAAAAATGAACGCTAATGAGTTTCTGGCATTTTTTCAGGAATTAAGATTTAAGTTATAAATCACAAAATGRTATTGTTTTGTTTAGTTTGTCGTCATCAATGCCACCTCCATCAACACCAACAAAAAGGTAAGGTTTGCAATGATAATATTTTATCATTTTGTTACTGAAAGCTTTGTATAGGTGGGACAATTCAGATATTTTTAAACTTGACTAACAGTATGGCTACTATGGCTCATTTCTCATCAATGAAAGATTGTGTGAATTTATACTTGTCTTTGACACTATTGAATTAATTCTGTGTTATTYTTCTTTCTTCAAATGTCTGGAATGACTAGGAGTACAACATGTGAGTACCTAATATTATCAAATTTATTATTAATTCATAAGCAAACACAATGAAAAGTCACAGACGTGACAGCCTCTTTATATGAGGAAGAGATTTGTCTTGATTTGCTTAACGACTTTGACTTTGATTTTTTTTAAATGATAGATAGATTGGTGCAGATGGTAGATTGATTATTTTACTGTCTTTTATTTTCAATCTCAAGATTTAACAAACTTTTTGTTGAGGGTTATTCAYTTTGTGGCAACGAGCAAGTGACAGCTGAGTTTRATTGGCTGGGTTCCTAAAGATGTCTCAAACCTGCACACTCAAATAATTGCAAAACTATAGAATCATTTTCCTTAATTATCTAGCTGTTGGATCCTTCATAAAAATTTTATGATTTTCAGCTAAAGGACCTCGAAAAAGAAGAAAAAAGGACTTGGGTTATGATGGTATGTATATTATTTTATTTGTATTTTTTATTTGAATTTCTCGTAACAAAACATAACAATTATTTAAGTTATTTTRATAAATTTAATTTTTGAATTGTGCTTGTAGATGGCTCAGATGGATTAAAGTCACAAAGTAAGTTATCTTTGCTCTGATTAATTAACAATTAGACCTCGAGGTCGAGTGGACTACTAGCTAATAGCCCATGAGGCCGAGTCCACGAGGCTGAATGGGCTATTAGCTCGTAGTCCACGAGGCCGAGAGGTCTAATTGTTTTAGTATAAACATACTAATCGGTCAAATAATGAAAACAAATTGAAATATCCTTAAAATAATTTATTAATGAGATGCCGACATTTTGATTTTTCYGCGAGTGGTCTATCACTAATTAGACCATTAGTAGAGTAGCCAATCACAGTGCAGTATGAGTGATAGACCATTAGTATGTTTATACTAATATAAATTAGAACTGCAATGAATAACTATTAAGTTTTCTCTTTGTTCTCTTTTTTTCATTTCTCAATTGTTGCATCACTCTCCTGCAATGGGAAAACAGCAAGGTATGGCATGTTTTATTTTGATGTACATCTCCTTTGAAATAGTGTGGAAGCAATAGCCAACTTTCAATATAGCCTCCTTCACACATATCTCACCAAATGTTTCTATATTTTGGGTTCCCTGTTAGTCATTCACAAAAGAAATGAAAAGAAGGCTTCAGGGAAACGAGACTCCTTCACAGATGTCTCTTAGTTTCCTTTCTAAAGATAATGGGCTTCTTGTGTTAGATCAGGAAGGGAGTGGGACTAGTAACAAGGCAGAAACAAATGTCCACTGGGAACCCAAAATATACAAAAAAAGAGAGTTTAGTCAACCAAAATATCTAAAGTGGGCTTTTCAAGGTCAAAATACATAGGCCCCCTCTCCTGTGTCGCTCCACTGCAATCCCCTTCAAGAGATCCTGATACTTGGGCTAAATTTCACTATTTTTTACTACTTTGATATATTCACAGCTACATAATGAAGTTATTTGACAGAAATGTAGACTTTGCCCCATTTGTGGAGGACACTCCCCTGTATACAYTAGCTAGAGAATGGATGGAAAATAAACCACATAGGATGAAACTTGCATCTGAAATGCAAGACTTCCAAGACAGCGACCCATTGTCTAGCAGCCAGGGAAGCTCATCAAGTGTACTTGCAGGAGTAAGTACTAAGTTCTCAAGGATATTTTATAAAGGCTCTACGTGTTCCTCAACCTTCCTTTTAGTTTTTTTTTATATATATTAATTCCAAAATCTTTCATTTCAATGCCAAGTAGAAGACTTCCTTGTTTAAGCGGTATCGGAAARTGGCAGACCAAACAATGTTCTGAACTGACTAGCCTTTAGCTTGCATGCAGGCATTCCTCGGACTTCTGCGTAAAAGTCTTTCCTGCGTAGATGCAAAGGCTCCCCCCGATTCTCCACTCGGTTCTCCCTAGTCCCCTTAGGGCCGCTATACGCACGCTAACTAGCCTTGTGTTTGTTTAGTATTTTTAAAACATTGTTGTAAGATCACAAGAGATAATATGTTCAACTTATATTTTCATTAAAATGTGCTGTTCTGAGTTTGAATTCTTATTGCYAACAGGAAAGTGTTGACAGCTCCAAAGCAGTATACAGGTAATGTGCACTACTTTYTACTAGTATTTCTTCAGTCCGATATCCTGCATGTGCTTTTTTAGTCTACTGTCATATAAATTGGGACCGACTTTGATTGGAATGCTCTCGGGATCGCTTTGGTTGTGCTCTGCGCGGGGGTGAACTGGGTGACTGGTCTCCCTCTTTAGGTSGAGTCATTCTGATAATTCATAGATCGGAATTAGCAAATTAGCTTTAAAACAATCAATGAAATTTKGATATCGACTAACACAATCACACTAATAAACCATGCAGTCAAATATGGTAGTTGTTTGTTCGGSTTTAGCCTGCATACAKGCGATTTACTGTATTCTCAAAAATGACAGGGGTTTACKGGTAAAAGCTGGATGAAACTCAGGCTATTTCAGCWTTTGATTTGTATAATCAAACGAATCTCCTTCACCTTTAATGATTTGTCTCTTTGTCTCTTATATACATGTATTTACTGTAGCAAATTTGGATAAGTGATACTAGTATTATAAATGTACATTATTTATAGTTTGCCTTTGCCAAACCCAAAAAGAGAACTCAAAGATCAGACATACATACCAAAACCCCTTCCACAGCCATCATTGTCGCTAAATATACACTACGTAAGTATGATATCATTTAGATAAGCACTTATAATAATTTAAAGGCCCAGTGTGCACCATTATGCTTTGGGGGGAGCGAGGGCTGGCGGCGGCCATTTTCAGTTTACCGAAAGTCTATACTGAACTGTACTGTACGTTTGGAATCCGCTCATATCTTGACCATCTCACTCTTCTAATCACTTTCAACGCTAATATTAATTAGAGTTTTCAACCATCGGACATTCCTTTTATGGTGAGATTTGGACACTTGAAGTATTTGTTTGGGCGCGCAAAGCATAATGGTGCAAACTGGGCCTTTAAATATTGCTTTACATTTTTTTTTAATTAAAGAGCCGGCCGTCAATGCGTTTTATGCGGTCGTGTTTTAGATTTGTCAAGGAAAAATACGGTGTCTTAAAATATTCGTTCGTTATCCGTTTCCATCCATTGGTTTTAGGGTCGAATCTTACGATACCTCCATTCCATTCATGTAGTGTAAAGGAATAAAGGGTTAGTTTTTGCATATATTATTTTTAAAAAGCTCGAAAGGGATGCCGGTTGTCCATGGCCCTTTAAAGACGCACACTCATTTTACCATAATTTTTTATTTATTATCTAATATTCTTGAAGTAATGTTAAAGTCCGACAATGAGGACTGGACGGGGTTTCAAGTCCGCGCAATTAGTTCCAGTCCGAGGCGTTAGCCGTAGCTGGTCTCTTTATTTGTAGCCGTAGCTGGTCTCTTTATTTGCGTTATTTTATTTTAACAGAAATCAGAGGCTGCGCCAAGTATTACTGATCTGAAGCAAAAACACATTCAGAGATGGAAAAAAGTCAAAACTGGGTATGTTAGGCCTGGGTCAAACGCGCAAACTCACTTTTGCTTACTAAATAAGTTGTTGTTTAAAGCTCTCAAAATCAATCCCTTTTTAAGGCCGAAGTAGACGACACACTACTTTTGCCTACAACCATCGCATGCGACCTGCGTAAGACATCCTTACAACTGTCGTAGGTCTATTAAGCAATTGCTTTAAATGGCAAGACAGTTGTAGCCAGKTCGCATGCCGTTTAATTCGGCCTTT